CACGTGGGCTCACGTGTGTGTGTATATCATCAGGTATTTTCCCGATGATAACATGTACTTGCAGTTTTATCACAAAATTTCCCTATGTTGAGTCAGTTTCCTCATGTTGGGCCTAATCCAATTGCATTTTAATGTTACAATTTCTTCCTGTATGAATATTCATGCTGGCTTTTTGAACCGTAGGCCCAATACTGTATTGCTTTCATGAAAAATATGTTTAATCGAGGATGCAAATTTCAGATCGTGGGTAGGAAACCTGAAATTGCTATTTCCTTTTTTTGGTTATAACCTCGACACCTATAGAGTATACAACGGCAAAATTTTCCAAAAATGGGAGTCTCTGGTTTCCGGGTTGTCCAGCACTGAGGGTATACTGAGTTTTAAATGACCGGATTCCTCCAAAATTCGAAAGGATTTTCTGGATTATTTTGAATGTTTTCCAATTTCTACGTTTACAATTCAATATCTACTGGAGTACTTTCTTTGAACTACCGATGATGGAAAAAATTCTCGCCCCGCATATTAATTATTCGTTATACAGGATATTACGCTTTCCGTCACTCAATCCTGATTCCTGAGTGTCAGTGATTTTTTTCGATTACTGAAATGTGTCAGAGCAATGAATTCGTGTCTCTACGAATTTCAGTCAAAGCCTTCAATGAATTCCCTTTTACAGTATATATAATCTCGAAGTACAATTATTATAACATTGAGGGTTCGGAACCTGTAATTTTACAGTAGTTCAATGAAGCCATTTTGCTTAACGCGCATTTGGAAAATAAGAAATTATTCAATTTTTGGAGATAATAAGAGCTGGAGTCTAATTTCGATTTTTGGAGAATATGTCGAAAGAGTAAGTAAAACACGAGTAAATCAGTCATGCAAATTCCATTAATCTGCAAGTCAAAAAATATTTTGTATTTCATCAGTGCAAATATTTCATTGTGAGCGATCGATATAATTTCCTAGTCGACGATACTTGCGCTTTCTTTGGGACAAAAGGTAAAACAGTACAGTACCGGGTATACATGCAAACAGGAATTATTGTACAAACATACAGTACAGTACAGTACTCTTATTCTCATCTGATATATTCGGGTGTCCCAGAAACCCTAATATTCCCTCGGTGCCCGTCGCGGTAGAAACCCCAGTACTGTACATTATTACACTACACGTCCCGTGATCCTTTACAACGCGGGCGGTTCGATCAGATCAACGATTGTGCACGTTTCTATACGCAGTGTTCCCCGCTGGCATTCTCCAGCCGCCGTTTTTCCACAAAAACTTCCCCAAGTCCCTGAACTTTGGCGGGATCGGGGTCGTCATCGGGCACGAAATCACCCACGGGTTCGACGACAAGGGCAGGAACTTCGACGAAACCGGGGTCCTCAACCAGTGGTGGGAGAAGCTGACGGAACAGAAGTTTTTGCGGAGGGCGAAATGCGTTTCTGGTACGTGCATTTGTCATCGTCCACAGCGACTCATTATTTATTTCTTCGATCTGTTTCCATTTTATCCGTGCATGTAACTGCTTATTCAGGAAAGTGTATTCATCATCCTCCAAAATTACGCGTTTGTTTCCTTTTATTCTGTCGTATATATACAGATATGTACAGCACGTTTCATTTGCCGGAAATCAATCTCCACCTGAACGGAATAACAACGCGTGGAGAGAATATCGCTGACTTGGGTGGCATGAAGGTAGCTTCGAAGGTATGAAATATCACATCGCATTTGCTATGTAAATTTAAAAGCCAAATTTCGAACTGTGATTCCGTCACGATGAATCCTGTTATTGTACAACGAATTTGTAATATAACGAAATTTTCTTGGTCCCAGTAACACCTTCATGGTGGGAATAATATACCATCTCGTTTGACGAACTAATTTTTAACGGAGATCTCGTTATAGCGAATTTTTGTCCTGTTCCTATGAATGGGACATATGTACGGGTTATTTCATCATAAGGAGAAAATATAGTAGAATTATGAAATAATGGGAAATATACGTAGCATGATGTTTTTCTTTGTCTGAATGAATAAGCTAATTTAAACGTTTAATGCCATTTTCCCAAAAAATTTTGCAGTGAATATTTTAAAACCATGAATCGCCATACAGCGAATTTTTCAATACTGTATAAGGAAGTTTTATCAGGTCCCTCTATAGGAGTTCGATGTAAACGAGATTTTACTGGTGCATCCAAGTTAATTCTAAATCTCTCATACGTAATAGAGCAATTTTTGGACGCTTTAATATACTGCATGCAGAGGAAACATGGATTTCACCGGAATCATTCTTTTTTTTTACAAGCAATGTACGTAAAAATTCTCAAGAAAAAATGTTAAATTACAGAAGAAAAACAGCGCATTATTTGAAGACATATACAGCACTGGTGTGCAGTACTGTATTTTTTACACATTAGCATCCTGGGATGCACCTATTTTATTTCAATTCCCAAAATGGGACATCATTTGAAGCTTAATATTTTATGCTGCATATTTTACTTTTGTGAAGCGGAATTTAGGTTCATTATGTTACCTGCATTTAATTTGTTCAATTCGTAACGCAAAAAACTTATCAATGCAATTAAACCCGTCCAAAGAAAAACTGGGAGGAGGCATAAAAAAAGCAGGAGTCAGATTTAATTGCGTAGAAGAAGATAATTCTTTAGAAAACTGCCGTCAGTCGTCGTTGAGTCCGAACTATTCCAAGCAATCCTGAGCTGCAAAATGAATCGGTTTACTCGTTGATTTTTCTTTTTACAAATATAGGCGTACGACAGATGGTTGGAAAAGAGTAATCAGACGGATGTGCCCATCCCTGGAATGAATTTCACCAACGAGCAAATGTTCTACATAAATTATGCGCAAATTTGGTGCACGAACCCTCGTCCGCAGAGTCTCATATCCCAGATCAAGCAAGGGCAACACACACCCGGGAAATACAGGCAAGTAATTTCACGATTTACTCCGAAATTATTTTAAAAATCAAAATTATTTTACAATTGCAGAGTTTTGGGCACGTTGGCATCAACACCGGCTTTTGGGAAAGCCTTCAATTGTCCGGAAGGGGCGCCGATGAATCCAAAGAATCGTTGTGAGGTTTGGTGAAAAAATTCCTCACTCAACTCAAAAACTGGTGCTCACCAGAAATGAAACAGTAGAAAAAAATCTCAATGCAGTCAAAGTGAATGTCATTCATTTAATGCTTCAAATCACATTTCGAAAACAAAAATTTCTGCGAACTTTTCTCATTCGCTATACCGGCTGTGATGTCACTTTGCTTTGAGAACTCGGAAGTATTCCATTCATGCAGATTCTTTTTTTTTTTGTCCACAAACCCAAAAAATACTTTTCTCACTGTCAATAAATATCCACTGAAATTGCGCCAAAAAATCCACAATGAATTTTTGGTAGGACGTCGTCCCGAGCTTGTCCGTTCTTGAATGGCTATTGTAGGTGCTTTCGAGGCAGTTTTTTTGGTACGAAAAATCCATGTATTATTGCACTTGTCCGAATGCTTTTGCGTTCTTCCAATGCATGCAATGATATAAAATGAGCGGTTTTCTGTAGAAAAAAAAATCGATCGTCTTCTTCATTCACTCTTCAAGACCCGCATTTTTTCTAGCGATTTTCTTGAGCTCCCGCCAACAGTCCATCCCAATCGTACTCCGGACGAGTTCAGGACTCAGGAACAATTCATCAAAATTCGGTGCAATCTTGAACATCTGTTTCCGGGCCATAATTCGCATGGAACTTATGTCAGTCGGCAATTCTATAAACCCGGATTCCGAATAACGACCCTTGCGAAGCAAAATCGTCGCTGCTCGGCCTCGCTTCAAATGCGGCTTAATCAACGTGATCTTTTTGAAAACCTCGGGCAACCAAACGCAACAACTCGAATGGAAAATCTTCTCCACTTCGAAAATTAGCGACGCCGTCAACTGGGCTCGACTCGTCACAGCTTTCCTTTCCAACCGCGTGATGTCGCTGACAGCCAAACCCACGAGCAAATTCACCATAACAATCGTCACGAGTAACACGAACATAATGAATAAGACGTGATACACGAAAAGGTTCCTACGGTTGAGCGTCTCCGGAGAGTTGTTCAGACACCTCGCCGATGATGAATTCGACATATCGCCAACATCTAATCCTAGTCCGGCCAAAGATTCGAAATAGTTGAGCTCACCGGCCATCATCACAAACATCCTCGCTGCAATGAACATCGTCTGAGTCCACGAGAACTCGTCGCATGCGTACACGTGAGTCTGCGCCTCCGTGAACAAAATGTCGAAGCCAAAGGTGAAACCGATGAGCAGCGGAGAGAACGCCAACAGAGACTTCAAAAGAGTGATCACTACACTTTTGAACATCAAGAAGTAGTACCCCAGGAACGGGAACCTCGCAAACATGTACGCCATCTCGAGCCACGCCAACATCAACGTCAGGATTCTAAAATGCACAGTGTAGAGACCGAAAAGCGTCGGTCCTCCTTCCAAATGCAAAAATGCCAGCGCAACCACCGAGGCCTCTGTCCAGTCCTCCCAGTTGATCAAGTACTGGAATTTTCGAGACATGAGCTGATAGAGTTCCCTGGCAGCCAGTACGCAATTGAGCGTGAAAAGGAAGTAGTAGTTCTTTTCGTTCCGCAAGCCCTTCGCCTCCCGCACAATATACGCAGTCAAAGAGCAGAGAAACGCGAAGTAGAAGATGCTGTTTATGTAGAAGAATATAGAGAGCTTCATCCACTTGAACTGAAGGAATGAGTAGCAGAGAGGATGGAGGAGAAGGTTCGGACGATTATTACCCAGGCGCCAGACGACAGAAGACTCGTCGAGCATGTCGGACTTGCGTTTGATGCACGGGGCGAACAGGATCCCGTAGTCGATGACGAGCTTGTTCGGGTCGATTTCGCCACCATCTTGTGCAAAGTTTATAGTTTGGTCCAACAGTTTCCTGATCCTCTTTTCGTCGTCTTCGTCCTCCAAGCGCTTCACGATATCGACGAAGGACTTCGAGTGGATCGGAAGATGGGCGGGTCGAGAGCGCAAGATGAGGTCGAAGCAGCGCCAGCTACCGTTCTCCGCGGAAACTCGGAGCAAATCGTCCCAGAACTGGATAGCGGTGTCGCGTTCGCTGCTGATGCGGGATTTCTGCGGTTCTGGATACGTTGTGTCGCACACAACAATACCGGTGGTGTCGGAAATGACGCGTTTGATCATCACTTGCAAGCAATTGTAGCGGCCTTGCCGAGCGGCGAGTTTGATGGGGGATAAATGCTTGGAGCCGAAGGGCGAGCAGCAGAATTCCACGCTGAATCGCAAGAAATATTCCAGGACTTGAGGACGCTCTGCTGAGACCTGCAGGAGACATGCTTCCTCAGATCATGATGAAAACAAAAAGTTTGGGCGAAACCAACCACATTTTCTACAAGTAGCACTGGCCGTTAGATCTTTTGTATTGCCTCGAGGAAAATTTCTGGAGCAGATCTCGCACCCATTCCTGGCGAATAACAACTCCTGACTGCAAGTGTGAATTCATAAGATTTATGCCAATGTCATATTTTCACGGAAAATGATTCCATGTTTATTGTGTGACTTTATAAAATGTACACTTATTCCATCTTTTTCAATACAAATCATTTATAGTTCTGGCTTCTGGCATATTTTCATCAGACTCCTTTACGTCTTTGCTGCTCAACATGTTCTAGGAAAACATTACGCGGTTTGTGTCTACGATTATTGGAAACTTGACAAAAAAATAAATTATCGAGCATATCTGTTAGTTAATATACTGTTAGATGTTTCACGAAGCAAAAGTGGCCAACACAACAATTATTCCTCAAAATTTGAAACTTCGACAGCTTCACCAGCAGATATTGGACTCGAAAAATTACTGTACCTCGAAGGCCTTTCTGATTAGTTTGATTTTGCATTGCGTTTCTTGTTGAATTGATTTGTATACGTAAACGTTTGATATCAAAAAATCAAGGAAAAAGGTTTCTGGATGCGTTTTGGCTCGTGCATTCGATTTTTTGTCTTTTTCCTGAGCTTCTATATCCTGCAAAATACAGGGGTGCATACAGCATGAAAAACTCATCAAAAAGGTCTTCGAGGTACAATACTTTTTTTAGTCCAATATCTGCTGGCGAAGCTGTCGAAGTTTCAAATTTTGAGGAACAATTCTCGCGTTGGCCACTTCTTCGTGAAAAATCTTACAGCATTTCAACGAATATAAATTAAATACTCAATATTTTTTTCTAAGTTTCCAATGATCTCGATTTTTCAGAATAAACCACTCGGAGGAAATGTTCAGAATCTGCTATTCATTTTTGAGATTTCTCGAAAAATTAGAGTTCAAACTTGAATTGAAAAAGTTTTGATATCAATATGTTCAGAAATTGTGGATTGCAAGTTGAAAACATTGCATCTGAAGGGGGTTATGCTCAAATAAACATCAGTTTTCGAAGCCTTTTTGCGTTTCCCATATAAACCCATTAGATGCAATTTTTTAAACACGCAAGCCACATTTCCTGAGAATATAAATTTAGTTGAAACACATTCAATACAATTTTCAACTCATTTTTTGATTCAAGGGTGGATTTCAACTCAAGGGTGGATTGCAGGTAAAATACACTTCATCTAAAAGGGAATTGCTCAGAAACTACTGAACAGGACGTTTGATGCGAAAATTAGTTTGTGTGCTTTAATCATAGTGGGGGTTGGTCGCATGTTTGTTTTTTGACTTATAAAATGTTTTGGTTTTTTTGCCTCATTCGACTCACGGAGATCCATAAAAAATTCCACTTGAACATGGGTTAACTGGAACTATAAAATGTTTTTTATTGTTTTCATATTCTTCGTATTTTTGGGACAAATTAAATAATTTCCGATAGTAATTATGATTTGTAAAAAGAACGAATCATGCTGCAACAAACATAGCGCTTGCACAAAGCGCATCTGTCGTGCATGGTACCACAGTACTGTACAGTACAGTAATATTATACCTGTGAACTGCAACACTCGTTCGATTTTCAAGCTCACCATTGCTTGAAGAGGAGTGAATGCGGAACAGTCTCCGGAACCAGGGCTCTCGATCCATTTCCGCTGCAAATCCGGGTCCCCGACGTGCTCCAGCAATATTTTGGCACAGTCCCGGCTCTTGACGACATGCAACAACCGCCGACCTTCCAAGTCCTCCAGGCTAACGAGACTGTCGACGTCGATGTTCCCGATCAGGTTCCTCACGACGTTCTTGGCATCTTTCTCGCATGCGTAAAACAAGGGTTGGGTCTGGGTATGCTTGCTCACCCCGTCCACGGCACTGATTCCTAGCTTCTCAATCAACTCAAACGCGTCGGCGACGTTGTCGAGAGATATGGAATGTTGCAATTGACGCTCAGTCGCGTATTCAGCGAGGGATTCTGCAGTGGGAGATTCGGCAGGCGACACTAAGGCGCCCAAACTGCCACGTTGCCCTCTTGCCCCCGGGAGGAGCTTTTTCAACCACGTTTCAGGCTTCATTTTTGACCCGAACACCGCAATTCCATTTCACTTTTCATCGAATCATTGTCAGCCTTATGAACGAAGAAAGCAATCGTCGATTTATCACTACAATAACGATAAATAAAAACAGGCATTTACCCAAGGTAAAATAAATGGAAGATAATTGTCAAATCCCGCTGTCCGGTGATCACACAAGCTAAAAATAATTTCCAACCACGATGCAGGCTTTATTTTTGACCTGAACACCACATTTCCATTTCACTTTTTGTCAGATCGTTTCTAGCCTTATGAACGAAGAATCCAATCGGGTTATCACCACAACAATACATCAAAACAGGCACTCACCCATGGAAATATAAATTGAAGATAATCGTCAAATTCATCAGACTGATGATTAAAAATGGTATAAGCAATTTTGGCGACCGAACTCCGCATCTAGCCACCAAAGCTTAACTCTTAAAAACTCGAAATTCCACGAAGAGATGCGATATGCCGATGAATTTTTGAAGACATCTTAATGAAGGGAGATTGCAAATTATTCATTCTATGCTTCCTTGACAATATCAATCGTTTACGCCTCGTTCTCATCGCCATTGAATAGGGCCTGTTTACTTCGCGTGATTGTAAATTGATAATCCATAACAAATGAAAGATTCTCAGATTCCTGATTACTGTACAGCCTTTCAACTTTCAAGAGAAACAGGGATGCAATAGCCAGAACGTTTTTGAATACTGTTAGTGTAAAGTAACTCCTCAAAAGAAGCAGAATACTGTACCATTATGGTTATGAATCATACCCTTTGTTTCTTTCTCGTGTAGTTTTTTACGTTCCATTTATACTGTAAAAAGAAGTTTCCGGCAGGACTTTTTATTTTTGTCTGCTGTAAGGTTTTACTAGTCAGAATTAGATTGATCAAGCCTTACACCTTGATTGCGGATTTTTAGCAGAGTTTTCAAGACAGAGGAGAAAATAAATTAGAACACGGCAATTGGCCGGGCGCGAACCGACCGGGATTTCTCCCTACTAGCGCAGACCTTTCTTTGATACACACACACAAACACACTTCTTGTTAAATTATACACACAGTTTGCACAAGATACAAGGAATACACACTCAGATGTACAAGATTCGCAACAATGAGCAATATTTGGCCTCGCAGGATTTCAAGTAGTCCAGAAGTGGACTTGATTTCCTTTACAATTAGAATTTCGTAACTGGATCACGTCCCGATTTAAACAAGGTATTCACACACGGCGTTGAGAATAAAGTAAGAAAACGAGTCTCAATCTTGACAAACAAAAAAAAGGGGGTTGAAGAACCGAAGGTAAAGGGCAAAGTGCCGGCGCTTTTTAGATTTTGCGATGTTTCGAAATCGCCCTGATGGTATAGAATTTTCTAAGTCCCGAATTTCCGAATTTTTAGAACACAACTTCAGCAGTTCGACCTTCTTAACTTGACTGTGTCTGTTACCCAATTTTCTGGGGTTTATATATGATTTTGCGCCGATTTTGGCGGGTCTTTCCTTGTTTGCGCAAATTTGAAAACACCAGGTGGTGGCATCTGCTGTTTTCGTAAAGATTCAAGTAGTCCAGAAGTGGACTTGATTTCCTTTACAATTAGAATTTTGTAACTGAGTCAAGTCTCAAATTTGACAAGGTATTCACACACGGCGTTGGGAATAAAAATTAAGAAGACGAGTCCCGTTCTTAACAAACAAAAAGGGGTGAAGAACCGAAAGAAAAAGCAAAGTGCCGACGCCTTTTAGATTTCGCGATGTTTCGGAATCGCCCTGGTAGTATAGAATTTTTCTAAGTTCCGAACTTCGAATTTTTAGAACACAACTTCAGCAGTTCGACCTTCTAAACTTGACTGACTCTGTTGCCCAATTTTCTGGGGTTTATATATGATTTTGCGCCGATTTTGGCGGGTTTTCCTTGTTTGCGCAAATTTGAAAACACCAGGTGGTGGCATCTGCTGTTTTCGTAAAGGTTTCATAAATGCGTATTTTCCCGAAAACCGGGTGGTTGGTTTTTACGATCTTCCAGCCGTTTGTTAAATTAGTTTTCTGCTGGAAAACATGGGTCTTGACAGTTTGCGAAAAGGCTGTTAAGATTGTAAAGTTGCCAGTCGAGCATTTCGAAGCTCGAGTTTTGACAGTTTGAAACGTCCCGAATT